GGGGTGTTTGTTGATTTTATAAAAAAAGCTTTTGACACTATTGACCACACTCTATTACTTTCTAAATTACAGGATTATGGGATAAGAGGGATAGTCCATAATTGGCTGAATAGTTACTTGAYTAACCGTAAACAGTTTGTACAACTAGGAAATATAAAATCAGATTTTCAAAGTATAAAATGTGGAGTTCTCCAGGGTTCAGTGTTAGGACCAAAGCTTTTTATTTTGTATATTAATGACATTTGTGAAGTATCTAAACTGCTATAGTTYATCCTGTTTGCAGATGATACAAATGTATTTTGCTCTGGGAATGACTAAAAAACTTATGGAACAAATGGCTAGTGAGATGTCTAAAATTAATGAATGGCTAAAATACAATAAATTATCAATAAATTGGAATAAAACTAAATTCAGGATTTTTAGTAACAAAAAATAAATGACTCTATTACAATGTCCATAGATGATAATATAGTGGAACGAGAATATGAAGTTAAATTTTTAGGGGTTGTCTTGGATCATAAACTTAACTGGAAATCTCATATAAAATATATAAAACAAAAACCATATAAAAGTATTGGACTTTTAAATAAAGTTAAAAATATTTTAGAGCATCCAACACTTCATACATTATATCACTCATTTGTTGCTCCATACATGACCTATTGTATAGAGGTATCGGGCAACACATATAAAACCAATACTAAACCTTTGTTTGTGATACAGAAGAAAGTTATGAAAATTCTATATAAAGTGAAAGTTAGGGAACATAAAAATACATTTTTTATTCACTGAAACATCTTGAAACTATGGGATTTATTTAATTTAACATTTTTATTAATTATGTTTAATGCAAGAAAGACATAATTGCCAATTAATTTACAAAAGTTTTTTGTCTCATGTTCAAATGACAGAATTAACCAAAGGCAAGATGATTTCAAAAGTAAAACTGTGCGTACTACTTTAAAGCAAATGCGTATTTCAGTTTATGAGATAAAATTATGGAATAGTTTGGATGGAGATTTGAAAAAATGTTCTACTTTAAATCAATTTAAAATACTTTACACTTTTGAGTTAATGAGGAGAACAATATATTTTTTGCATATTCTATTTGTGATTTAATGAATGTGGCCATGAAAAATTAATTGTAATTACTGAGAAAGAAGCAGGTTTATACAAGGTTTATCTTCTTCCTGCTCCCTTTTCACTCATGCATAGTATGTGTTAAAAGAAAATGTGTTTGTATGTTATAATGATGAAAATTGTTGAATTGAGTGAATAAACGTATTGATTGATAAAAGCTAAAAAAAAGCAAAGAGCTAGCTAAAACAAGAAGTGGCAGAATGATGGCTAAAAATGGCACGAGACAAAAATAGAACAAGTTTTCTGGAGGTTTCAAAGAGAACAATGGTTTTGAAGGAACTGAGGAGATCAATATTTTGAAAAGTATAAAAGTTAGGAAAAAACAAAAATTAGCGTTTTGCTCCCATAGTTGCAGCTACTGTGCTTCTTTTAGCTGTAAGAACTCAGTTTCAACTTCTTTAGCATATTTTGGCAGTGATTCAGCAGCACTCAATGTTCATGCAGCCATTATGCTCAAACTGCCAATATACTAAATTTCTTCATTATTCTCAACTGAATATGTTGAGATGAAAATTGTCTCGTGTTTTCCCCCCCACAGTGCCTTTTTTTTTTTTACTTGTTACCTCTCTTATCCCCCTATTCCATCGCCTCTCTGTCCCTTGTTGCCTTGACGAGACGTGAGTCCGGTTACCAATAAGCTGATGTGAAAAAGTAACAAAAGACTCTTTGGTCTCTCTGGTTTCCTGTCGCCCCAAGCCAAAGAGACGCCTGTAAAAGAAGTGAGAGGAGTGGTGGCCCACAGAGCCCACGGCCCTGGCTGACAAGCGCAGCCTACTGCTGACTCCCTGACACAAAGAGCTGCCTACAGAGACGGAGCCACCAGGTTTTAGGTCCGCTGAGGAATTTGTGTAAGACTAGGAGTGAAGTGTAACTCAGTCGGAAGAGTCGGAACGCTGGCTTCACAGTCTAGTGGTTATTAATGGTGTGCTTTATAAAATAGTGTTAGAATAAGTGCCAGAATCTCTTTTTTCCACAGATGATGGAGATGGATACAGTCGAGGGTCGTTTAGGCTTCTTGCATTTGTTTTGATTGTTTGCAGCTCTGAAATCACTGCCAAATGTTTACATGTCCAACCCCCTTCGAGTAAATGACACATTTTGCTTCAATAGAAGGACCCGACCACAGCGGTGGACAGCAGACGCACACAAACACACATTTGTTTTTCTATCCCTTTGTTGACCTTGCATCGACTTCCATTCATTTTCCGGTCATTTCTATAGCCTAACAACTGACCATTTACCCTAAACCTAACCAGCCCACTACATACTATAGGTGTAAAAAAATATTGATACACTGAAATATTGCGATATTTCATTTCCCGATACTGTATCGATATTCTAAAGCCCTGTATTGATTTTTAATTAAGGTTTAAAATGTCAACCTTCTTGCCAACCGTTCATTTTTATGTTGTAGTTCAGCTTCTGACCACTAGTTGGCAGCAGTGAGCCAGCCATTTGGCTCCTCTACCTCTTGRGCGCCAGAGAGTAAGGGTAGCATTAGCATTGTAAGTAAACATTAACTTTTCTTTTTTTTTTTTCAGTAAGAGGTTTTTATTTAATAGAATTTTTGGACAAAAAAAATCGCAATATATCACAATATACTGCCTTGCTTACAGTATCGCAATATATCGGGATATATCGTATCGTGACCCCTCTGTTATATGTATCGTATCGCCAAATTCTTGCCAATACACAGCCCTAGTGAAACAATACATCAATCTATATCGATATTTCGATTTGAATGGTTCATGACTCGGTTATATTGAGGCAAAATGAAAATATTGATCTATATCGTCATATCCTCAATCGATATCATATGCCAATCTAACACAGTCATTGTGTTAGATGGGATCTATTGCAGACATGTGAACTGAATTGAATCGAAATTGTATTGTGACAGACTTTGTGATATCGAGAAATATCGAATCGTCATCCAAACATATCGATGTAATATCATATCATGATAAAGCTGGTGATTTACACCCCTACTACATACTGACCATCTAGCCTAAAAATCAGCATCTGTACCAGCGGTCCAGATTCTGGACCCCACGAAGAGCATTGGGTCCCCATGAGCCTGTGTGTTTCTGGAAAATGATCCTCACGATGTTGCAAAAATATGTACAGTGCACACACTTGTATTTCTATTCCAAATATATTGGGGACCACTTGCCTTCACAAAGCAGATAAAAATAAAACATTTAACATGCTGAGAATGTTCATCAGCATGCTGATACAACCAGATTTGAGTTTGTAATGTTTCCAAAATAAATGCTTTGATACAGTGCTATCTAATCTAGTGAATAATCATATCCTCAAAAGTATTAGTGATTTGATGCAGAAATTAACATAAAAAAGTTAAAATGTGTTCATTTTTATGTCTCACTCCATAAAGGGTGCGGTGGGTGGCAACATAACCATCAAGGTGCTGTGCGGCGTGATGGCCAACGCCTCACTGGGAGATCCGTATGCCCGCTACGCTGCCGTGGCCCGTCTGATGATGGACACTCTCTCTCTGAAGTGTCTGGATGCCAGCTTCAGTAACTACACCAGAGACATGAGTAATACATCCTGGGATGGGCCTGCTGCAGGGGGAGGTGGGTGCTGGGATTTGATCAAACTTTGGTGATGATGATGTGGTAATGCAGAATGTTGAGCTCAGAGTATGTGTTGTGAGTAACTCTTAGATACTACCACATCAAACTCTAGGTCAGTCTGTTGATTTGACTGAGTTATAGCCATTTTTATTTTCCAATTATTAATAAGATGTACTAGCCTATGTACTAGGTGTACTAGTATGTCCAGTGATTACTTTTTGAAGGTTTCATTATAATTTGTCCTGTGATTTGTGAAAAATTTTGTTTACAAACAGGATTGACTTCAAAACGTTATGCCTAAGTTTTAAGCAGATATTGTGCAATTTGTTGTACTCACCGTATGTGTTTGGGAGGATGCTCAGCTATCATCAAATTAAGTTACAGCTATTAAGTTACAGACTTTTAAGTTACTTTTTTCGCAGTTTTTAAGGCCAGTTGGCTGCAATGTAAATCTTAAATTAGGTTGATTCTAAAAGTTAATCATTGTAGATCCAATGATTATTGAGTTGTAGTACAGTGGGGAAAATAAGTATTTAGTCAGTCACCAATTGTGCAAGTTCTCCCACTTAAAAAGATGAGAGAGGCCTGTAATTGACATCATAGGTAGACCTCAACTATGAGAGACAAAATGTGAAAAAAAATTGACAAAATCATTTTGTCTGACTTTTAAAGAATTTTTTTGAAAATAATGGTGGAAA